CCGTCGGCAGGCGGCTCGCCCCCTAGGGCGGGGCTGCTGCGGCTGACGCCAGCCCCCTCCCCGCGAGGGTTCAGGGGAGCTGGCGACCAGGCGGCAGGAGTGGCCGCATGGGGTGGCTGAGAGAACTGCTGGGCGTCGTGCTGCACTTCGCCGTGGGGCTCGCGCACAGCCGTGCTGCGCACCGCACGGCATTTCCAATATCTGGATGTCCGAGCCGTGCTGCTGCACCCGATAGAACTGCTGGACGCCGTGCTGCGTCTCGCCGTCGTGCTCCTCCCAGTCGCGCGGCTCGCCAAGTTGCATGTCCCATTCCTGGATGCCGGAGGCGTGCCGTCGTCCCCGACGCCCTGCTGGACGATGTGTTGCAAGTCGCCGTCGTACTGCTCCCAGCCGTGCTGTACGCCATGCTGCACGCCCAAGTCCTGGATGCCAAAGCCATGCGGCGGCTCCCGATTGCCCTGCCGGACGCTGTGCTGCTCGTCGCCGTCGGACCTGCAGGCAGACGTGCCGATCGACGCACAGCACGTCTGATCCTGACCTTCAAAGTCGCGCTGCCGATCCCAATTGTGCTGCCGGACGTCGCGCTGCATCTCGCCGTCGTACCAACCGCGGCCATGCGGCTCGCAACACTGCTCATCCCAGTCCTCCACCTCTGGCTTCTTGTCCTCCGCCTTTGCTCCCTCGCCCTCGTGGATTCTTGCCCTCCTCCTCTGGATCTTCGCCTTCGCCCACCTTGGATCTCCGACGCCCACCTTGGATCTCCGACCACCTCCTCTGGATTCCCGTTCTCCTCCTCAGAATCCACGTCCACGTCCTCTGGATCCTCGCCCTCGTCCTCCGGATCCTCGTCCTCGTTCTCGTCCTCGTCCTCGTGCTCCTCGTCCTCGACCTCCTCGTCCTCGTCCTCTGGGTCTGCGACGTCCTCTCCCACGTTCCCGAGCTTGCTCCTCCCCGCCCTCTCGCAGTACCTTGCCACACTCACGATCGCCGCGCTGACGGATGTATCGGTGCTTGTGGCCGCGGTGCTGCACGAGCACGTGGTCGCGGCCCATGCTGACCATGCTGACGTCGCTAATGCAGGCGTCGTGCATGCATGCCAGCGCCGACGCTGCTGGTGTCGCTGCTGCTGGAAATGCTGCCAGAGTCGGAGTCGGTGCTGGAGTCGATGCTGTTGGCGTTGTTTCAGGCGCCAGTGTGTCGTCGGCCTGGGAGTCAGCGAGCGGGTCGGCGCGGGATCTGGCGAGCTGGTCGGTGCGGGAGTCGGCGAGATGGCCCCGGGCTGGGAGTCAATGAGTTGGCTGGCGCGGGAGTCGGCGAGCTGGTCGGCGCGGGAGTCGGGTAGCTGGTTGGTGAGGGGGCCGACAAGCGGTCCGGTGCAGGAGTCAGCGAGCTGGCCGGCGCGGGAGTCCGCGAGCTGGCCAGCGCGGGAGTCGGCGAGCTGGTGGGCGCGGGAGCCGGCGAGCTGGCCAGTGCAGGGGTCGGTGAACTGGTCAGTTCAGGAGTCGGTGAGCTGGCTTCCTGCTCATCCGATCTTCCAGTGGCCCGACAAGGGTTCCCACATTCCAACGCTCAAATGACCAGAAAATGTTTCAAACGTTTCCCGCCTTTCGTTTTGAGGTAACAGGGAAAAACGTTTCCCGCATTTCGGTCTTCATTGATCGGCAGTCATCTGGGCTCTTAGAGTCTAGGAAGGTGCGGGAGTCGGGGGCCTGATCGGCGTGGGAGACGGCGAGCGGCTCTGTGCGGGAGCCGCCAAGCTGGTCGGTGCGGGAGTCGGTGAGCAGGACGGCGTGGGAGGCGGTAAGCTGCGCGGTGCGGGAGTCGGCGATCTGCTCGGCGCGGGAGTCGTCGAGCACGTCGGTGCGGGAGTCGGCGAGCAGGCAGGCGCGGGGGTCGGCGAGCTGGTCTGGTCGTCGAGGGAGCTGGTGATCCCCTCGGCGCGGGAGTCGGTGAGCTGGTCGGCGCGGGAGTCGGCGCGTTGGTCGATGCGGCAGTCGGCGAGCTGGTCGGCGCGGCAGTCGGCGAGCCCCTCAGCGCAGGAGTCGGTGAGCTGGACGGCGCAGGAGTCGGCGAGCTCGACGGCTCGGGAGTCGGCGAGCTGGTCGCTGCGGGAGTCGGTGAGTTGGTCGTTGCGGGCGTCGGGCTTGTCACGGTTTCCGCCCTCGGGCTTGTCACGGTATCCGCCCTCGAGCTGGTCGGCTCTGGAGTTGGCGAGCTGGTCGGCGCATGAGTCGGTGAGTACCCCCTCGGGCTTGTCGCGCTTTCCGCCGTCGGGCTTGTCGCGGTATCCGCTCTCGAGCTGGTCGGCGCTGGAGTGGGCGAGCTGGTCGGCGAGCTGGCCGGCGCGGGAGTTCAGTGCTTCGCGGACTACTCCCTCGATCGTGTCGCGGAA